GGACACTGCTACTACCACGACGACGAAGACTACTTGACTGCTATTCCTGCCATTCCGCTAGTACGGTTGCTGCCCAGCTTCAGCAGCTCCGGGATCTCCATCCACCCCAAACAGGCCTGGCTCCAGGCAGACAGGCCCTCAGCCCTTATGCTGAAGACTCTTAAACCTAAACCTATTTAGGGTTTAGGGTTTAGGGTTTATTAAGAGTCTAAATCAAACCTATTTAGGGTTTAGGGTTTATTAAGAGTCTAAATCAACCTTAAGCCCTGAAGCCCCCAAAAAACCCTACTGATTTCGACCCTTTTTGTCGGCTTTGGCTCAGAGCGGCTACAGTTTTTTCTGCAGCTGCCGAGCTTCTCGGGGCTCTCATCCCGACTCAGCAGCCGCTGGGAATCCACAGTTTTAGGGTTTTCGTAGGACGAGGGTCTATTTAGATGGGCTTATGTAATGTAAACTAGTTTAAACAGGTTGGTTCAGGCAGGGTTTCTGAGCCACTACTGCCATCTTCAGGGCTCGCACAACCGGGCTCTGTAATTGTAAGTTGGGGTTTTCTGGAGTTTCGGAGTTTCTAGGCTTGACTTTGAAATTTAGGGTTGAGGGTTTGGGGTTTGCCAGTAGCTCCCTGTGCCTACCACCCCGCAAACCCCCCCGTCGTTCCTATGTAGAGAGGTACACAACAGTAATAAAGACACTTAAAGTTGTTTCATTATACTACTGTTGCATTACCCTTCAGACTCGTATACCCTATAAAGCAGGGCACAGCCCGTCTGAAACCCCAGCCTATGGAAACAATATACCTGTCTGTCCCAAAATATCCCCGAACCCCAACCCTCTCACGACCCTTCGCCCTAAACCTTTTGGGGGTTTCCGAAAATCGGGGACCCTAATATAGTACCCTAAATAGTAGGATCCCTATTATAAGGACCCCAAGATAAGGTACCCCTTATTTTCGGAAAGTCCCTTTTGGGAAAACAAAAAACATTATAGCTGTGCGTCCCAACATATCCCCGAACCCCAACCCTCTCACGACCCTTAGAACCCTAAACCCTAAACCCTAAACCCTAACAGTATAAACCTTTTTGGGCAAACAAAACCCTGGTGATGTCCTTGAGGCATTGAAGCCGATCATGGCGAGGCCTTGGGAAGCCTAGCACTGCCATAGGCCCTATAAAGTAGTTCCTTTTTGGGAATTACCTTATAGGGTTCTAAATATGAGCCCAAAAAGGGAACTACGATGGGGCCTATGGGGAAGCCTGTGATGTCCGAAGGCATTTATTCAAGATCCTCCCTGAGAAGATGTGATGGTCCTTGTGGGATCTTAGCGGGATTGTGAACGGGGCTTCGTACAATCGTCACCCAGAGCTTTGGAGGGGCGTGTACAGTGAGATATCCTCAGTCGAGCTCTGTAGGGACACTATAAGCAGCACTACGATGTTGAGGATGCGTGTGAAACCCAGAGGCAGACTTAGCTATGTATTATATATGTCTTCCAAAGTGAGGCCACGGTAACTTGCAGGTCTATTCCCGAAACCCAAAGAAATGGCATGCAATAAGACTGAAAGCTTGAAACTTGCTGGTTTTGGACGTGGACAGCTTCGTGTTCCTGACCGCTGCAGTCAGCTCATCTGTCAGTCTCGGCGGGATTATGTCTACTTCTAGGCCCCAAAGTAGTTCCTTTCTGTGGCTTTTATTCAGGATGCCATTAGGTAATCCCAAAAAGGAAGTACCCAGAGGCCCCATAGTAGTTCCTTTTTTGGGATTACCTTATAGGATTCTCTGGGTAGTATGGGTTGCATGGGTACCCCCCTTATTATGGTGGCTTTTTGGCGGTATCTCCTCCGGCAAAAATCCGGGCAGGACGGCTCTTGCCTCGATCTGTGCCCTGCTGCTCCTACATGGGGCAGCAGCGAGAAAGATGGACCCGGGGGTTTAGGGTTTAGGGTTTAGGGTTCAGCTGTCCTGGCGTGATGTTGCAAGCCAGTTGCAAAAATCAGGTTTAGGGTTTAGGGTTTGCTTTTTGCATAGGGTCTGAACATCTGTAACTACTACCAAATTTGCGGCGAACCACGCAGTGGAGGCCGAAGCAGTCGATGAAGTGACGCGGTGTTTCGTCTACCGGAGTTGGTGCTAGACATTCTACAGTCTACAGTTGCATGCGACATGTAAGCAGTAGACCTTGAGCTTAAAACTCCGATACCGGTGGCCCAAGAAACACTACCAGCATTAGTAACTGGCAATAGTACAGAAATCATAGTAAGGAGTGCAAGGCGAACCTTAGTTGACCTAGCCAGCCAGCCTTCAAGCTTCATTGGTCATTCAGTTTGATCAGACTTCGCCAGGAGGTCGGTTCGCATGTAAAGGGCTTTTCACGGTGTTCAGGGGTCCCATGTTATGGGAGTTCAATAGGTCTGCGCGCTGGTCGTGTGTGGTACATGTATTGTTGGGCTTACAGGGCCCAATGAAGAGTAACCCACAATCCAGGTAATTGGGCGGCTTTGTTTGAAAGTTGCAACCCTTGAGTTGACTGAATTTCGGGAAAGTCTGTTTGGAGGAAGACCTTCGTGGGCCTTTGAAGATTCTCTGCGTAGGCTATGAGGCAGGTATTATACAACTTGTACTTACCGCCCGATTTTTGCCCACCCAAACCTCCAGAATCAACGAAGAAGTGGTTGCGCGAGGATTTCGACACAGCCAAGCCTTTCGGTAAGGCGAAGGGGCGGAGGGCTTCGGGTTAAGGCTCTAGGGCGGTTGTGGGGGTTTCACAACCGTTTATATAATTCTCTGGGATTTAGGATCGAAGATGCGAACTCATGCCCTTGCGGGTTTAAGAGCTTGGGTGTACCGAGATGTTGAGCGCTAGTACCTTTGTACGACAACCTGATTCATCGTTCGCCGCCTTTCCCATGGCAACGTGGTTAGTAGCTTCCGGGTGTTTGCGGTGTGGTGTGTCTTTGACACCGGCAACGATGTCGGGCAACACGACGGCTAACTGAAGTGCGCATCAGCTCCTGCTCGTTAGACCTTCGAAAGGGCCCAACAAATTGCATTCTGCCTTTCACGGGCTACGATCAAGTCTTGTTCCGAGGTTCTCTTGGAGTTTAGGGCTTTGCAGTTTACCACTTCATCCAAGACTTAGCCAGTAGCCTAAGCATGTGCATGGCCGTATGCCGCAACTCCCGGACCCCAGCAGCAAATGAGAGCCCGAAGAGACCGTCATGGAGATCAAAACCGTAAAGCCCGAACTTACCACCCGAAAGCCCAGAGCCAAAGCCCGCATAAACCGCACAAAGATACATTCAACCTCCAGACCTCTAAACTACCTTGCCTCAACCCCAACCCCCTCCCCCTCAACCCCCAGTCCATACTAAGCCGCAAAGACGCCCGATACTCCCTGAATTTGTTCGGGTTGGCTCTTGGGCTGAGGCCTTATAAGTTATAAAGCCTACAGACCCCTGCAACCCTGAAGCCCCAAACCCTGAGACCCGAAACGCTAAAACCCGAAGCCCTGGTTTAAGGTTTCGGGCTTCGGGTTCCCTAAGCCCTAAACCCCCTGAAAATGCCCAAACCCCCAAACGTTGAAAGCCCTTAAAAACCCCTATTGCCCCCTAAACACCCCTAGAAACCCTAAAGTCCCTAAAAGCCCCTGAAGCCCTATTAAACCCCTGGGGGCGTTTCTCTTCGGGCACAGGTCCTGGAACTCCTCGCAGGCCGGGCCCCGCCGTGAAAAATTGAAGTGCAGCGCGGTTTTGTTTGGAGTTTTAGGGTTTAGGGTTTTTTAGGGTTTTGGGTTTAGGGGTTTAGGGTTTTGGTGTTTTAAGGTCATTAATTACTGAGGGTCACTGAGTATGCGTACGCAAACCCGGGGCCCCTAAATTACCAAACACCAACACCTAGGCTGTAGGTGAAAAGATATGACAGCCCAAACCCACGAAAACAGATCCACGACATGGGGAGAGTGAGTAGTTCTACCAGCACGAGTCGGCTTGGTCTTTGGGGGCGTTTTATCTTGTTTTCTCGGCGTGGCACCGGCCCCGAGGCCTCCAGGGTCTATAGGGTTTAGGGTTTACCTGGACCCCAAAGAACCTACCTCTTTAGGGTTCTTTATTATGAATTCTTCACTATAAGTCCTTAAAAAGGTAGGTTATTTGGGGTTAAGGTAGGGTTCAGTGTGGGCGCTGGCCGGCACCTCAGTCCGTGCTGAAAGGGTTTAGGGTTTAGGGCCGTATACAGAGTCTGGGTTCAAAAAGGGTCTATAGGGCTAAAAGACCTCAAACCCCGAAGCGCAGAGATTCCCAGAAATCAAAGACATCGGCTGAAAGCCTCCTGTCGACACCGAACACGGAATACATGACCCATAGGCTTTAATAGGTTTTGGAGATATGCTCAAACCTACCCTAACAGTCTCTTGCAGGGACCGCAGCAACCAGGGCGAGAGTTTCAGGTGATCTACAGGATCCCTCAAACGGCACCAGGAAAGCCGTAATTATTCAAGACAAGTCAGGGTTCTTCGTAACCTTTGCTGCTAGATACCTCGGTTTGGGAGTGGGAAAAAAGCCTTAAAGAGTGTGCCTGCGCCGTGGCGCGAAGTTGCAATGTCTCCCACAACATGACGATGGTGGCCAGCTTGGCTTTTCCTGTCTGCCTCGTCGCTGTGCTTGGTGGGCCTGGGTCCGCACAGATTGTTTCGACACGTGTGAGGATGTGCCCCAAATATCTCTCTCTGCCAAGAGCTGTGTTTCCCAGCATGTCCTGGAAGCAAGGACTATTTGGCCCCTTTTGCTTGCAGTCTGCAAGCAACCGTGGCTAAATGCTGGAGCTGCGGGCTTTCACGGCGCATCAGTGTCCCAATGTGTCGACATGATAAAGAACGAGAAAGTCAGGCATGTAGCGGACAGGAAGAGCGGAACCCCCCCAACTGATGGAGAAGACCATTAGTCTCTCCATCAGTTGGGGGGGGTTCCGCTCTCGGGGTCCGGGGAATTATATAACATCATTCTGCGATGCTGCTGGACGTTGGTTGCTGCACTCAGGGAAGTCTGGAGTCGAGGAGTCAGCAGAAGGGCCAAGAGCTGGCAGCGGGAGTCAAGCTGCGGGTTCAGCGGAGTCAGCCTGCAAGGACTTCAGGTTGCTCCGTGGCCGTACAGAGCCAATCGCAGCATTTCTTCTTCTGTCATGCAAGGCAGGGACCGCACCAGGAAAGCATGGAGGCCACAGCCGTGCAGGCAGCTGGACTTCTCCCAGAGAGTCGGCAGGAACGGCGGCGAGAATGTGCCATCAGTGGCTGCAGAGAGCCTTATCTCTGTTTTTTTGCATTGGGACTCCTGAGCTTCATTGAAAGATGCTTGAACGGTTGGCACCGAAACAGCCTCTTCTTGCCCGAACTGTTGGCCTGCCAAGCCCGTATTACGTATGCCGTAGCAAGCAGGCTATGACCGTAAGGGCATGTGAGGCCATGTCAAGCCGGCTGCGGAAACAGCTGAGCAGCTACAACGACGGCGCAGAATGATGAATGTGCTGGCAGCTGAAATCCCAGAAGCCATGAAAGAGCACTTGGAGCAGGTCCGAGCTAAGAAACTCAATGGCGGCGCTCTGCCCCACTTTGCCCCGGTGTCTCTTGGGAGCCCTGTTTCACTTGTGCTCTAATACCAACCCAAGTTGTTGTTAATGTTGGTTATTTCGGGCCCAAGGCGACTTCGGCTTACGAGGTTTGCACTTGGGTTCAGGCTTGTTTGAAGCTTGTGTCTCAGGTGCCAGATAGTGGTTCCCAGAATTAGGGGACCTAGAGGAATCTCCGTCTCCGTAACAATACGTCACACTTACAATCAGGACCCTTAGTCGGCAGCTAGTCGTTACAGAAATCTGTTTCGAGAGCAGGAGCGGATCCTGTGAACCCTGTACCTAGCGCCCATCCCCTTAGCCCTTTTTGAGATATTAATCGAAAGATTGGAAGGGTCCTTGTTGATTATCCCAAGTCGCCCTGCCGTCGGCTTTGTCTGTTGACACTTGTGCTGGAAAGCTGAGGTGGCCACGCGCTTGCAGATTTCGAGCCACCCCTGAAGATGACTTAGTTCTTGATACGGCCGTCCTTTGTGAGAGTTCTCTCTAAACCTTAAGACCACACCTTGAAACTGACAGATTCAATCACCCAGCAGTTGCAGGCATGAAGACGGAGCTGGCAAAGGAAGCAGATTCAGACAAGGCTGCCGGGAGTTTCGCCGCTTGCAGCCCATAACCTAGAGCCCAAGCCCAATATTCCGAAACTGCAAAGTCTTTCGGACCGTGGCTTGGCCAAGTCTAATTATTTGCTTTCTACAGATTTGGATGAGGTAAGCTTCTTCAACCAAGGATCCGCTTCCAGCGAGGAGAGTTTCTCAAGACCCCGGGCCCGTGACAGGGTTAAGCAAAAAGAACAGTTGATGAGCGCAGAAACTTTAATTCAGTCGCAAGCGGTACTTGGCAACTAATTATCTCCCTCGAGCTCCAAGAACAGTAGCACGTAGTGGAACAGCACGAACAGGAAGGGACCCGCACAAGACAAAGAAAGCACCTTGGGGTGTGAGCTCAGGGTTGAGAGTTTAATCTTCTCTGTTCCGGGTTTTGGGATTAGGGACACCTAGTTTGTGGCTTTCTTTCTAACCCTATTGGCAGCAGCCTCCAAGTATATCGGAACTCGAAGGGTTGGAAAAAAGAGGTTTGTCCAATATAGAGGTCTTGGAACATGGATAACACTGTACCCGGCCGTCTGTTTTACACACTGAGCCCGAAGCCCTGTCCCCAAAACTTTTTCCAACCTGAAAGGACACGCATACCAAGATGACCAGCTACTCGCCTTCAAGCATTGCTAGGGCTTGGGGTTTTTGGGCTTTCAGCGGCTCATAGGGCTGCTCCGAGGATTGAAGGCTTACGGGATTCGATTCGTGTCGCTTGATGTTTTGGTGTGTCTGGGGATGACTACTCGTCGTACCAGTACAAGTATACCTTTTGCTATTACGGGTACTAGTACTCATATCATGTGCAGTACGGCCATCGCTACTGCTAGTTCCACTACTACCACTACTACCTCCACCGCCACTGCTCCTCCTCCTCCTCCTCCTACTACTACTACTACTACTCCTACTACCACCACTGTTTTTAGGGTCGCACGGCTCAGGCTTCAGGAGTTTGGTTTCTTGTGGGCCTTCTGTGTAGGTTTGGGTTATCCAAGCAAGCTATACTGCAGGTCTGGAGGGCTTGGCGCCATAGCACAGGTAACAAAGTATCAGCGACTGAGGCGGAAACCAAGATCCGACAAAACTGTAGGGTCTTAACCGGTTAATTAGGGCTTTCTGGGTTTGAGCGGTTCGCTCCATGTAAGTTTAGGGTTCTGGGTCTTCAGCATAACTCTGAGCATTCACGTGCGGTACTGCAACTTATTTCCACAGAGCGCTGGGGAGACGAGAGATGCTCCAATACTTCGGCTTCAATCAGGATCAGCTCGTCAGATCTTTCAACAGAGTATCCGACAGATTAGCTCTTAGGATAATGAGGATTGTGCGTACTTAGCCTTGCGCATCTCACCACGAGTCCGACGTGCTGCATGCAACCTGCGATAACATTAGAAATTGTCAGGGGGAAGAGGCATACCTGAGTCTCAAACTGTACAGCCCTGTAGCCTTTGAAGCCTTATAAGTAACATCAAGTCCTCCACCTTCTAATTTTCACAGGCTGGTGTCAGGACACCAAAGATGAGAAGAACAGGACGCCTTGGGCTTCGGGGCGTTGGCTTGAGGAGAACCGAGTCCTCTTGAGGCCTATCCGAATCATAGAAAGCCCGATAGAAGCCTTCTGACAACCCTGCGGCCAGCAGGATAATTTCCGAGTCGGACACAACGATTCAGCTCCAGACCACGGCCGTGAAGGAGAACACCGCTTTGGTGCCGCCGGCCAGTTGGAGCCCTGCAGGGGCGATCATGAAAATTCCCGCGCTGCTGCTGCTGCTGCTGCTGCTGCTGCTGCTGCTGCGGCTATTGCCACAATCACAAGCGGCCTTACCAGCATCCCTTCCACAAAGCTACCATGCAATCACGATTGCTGGAGTGACGATCTTCAGAAACAGCTCCGCGACGGGAAGCAAGAAACACCGCTTGTCAGGGCCAGCGCCTGGATTTCGACATCAGGACCTTAACGAAGGAGATCGCAGCAAACAAGGCGGCGGTTGGTAGCACATCTGGGCATTGTCTGCGGGACATGGAGATTCTAGCTGTTTAGTCTATTTATCGCTATATCCCAAAACCCCAGTCCAACTATCAAGGCGCTTACGGTTGAAGCGCCATCTGCCCTATGAAGGCCAAGTATAGACCCCCCTTAACTATCGGAACAATCCAGCTCCAGCCCGTTTCCGAAGGCCACATTGGCGACAGCAGAGGCCTTGCGAAAGGATCAGCACGATTCCTTCACCAAGGACGAGACGCTGCCGGGCTGAGTTTAGGAACGTAGCACGGGGGCTTTGGCAATGAAAATAGCACTGTGGAGGATAACGGACTATACCTACTCACAAACGGAGTATAAGGGCACACAGTTGCTGTCTATTACAAATTACATTAGTTCCGCCTTCTCTCTCTCTCTCTCTCTGTCTTTATGCACCTTGCCTGACATTACATACATCTCTGAATAATGACATCGCCTTTACAGCCTCTTCTTAGTTAAAGTATAGTACCCCGAAGAATTGCGAAAACCCTACATGCTCGAAGCCATACATTTCGAAGCTTCAGGGGCTTGGTTTCGCGGCTTTGGGAGTTACCTCTGGATCTAGGTTCCCCTTATTTCCCCTCCATCGAAAAGGTCATGACCGATTATTTTACCGGGTTATCCTCCCTACGCGAAAGTTGGACTTGGGACTGCATGTTTTCGCTTTGTGCGTAGTTGTGAAAACTCTGCATGCATGCTGGCCTCAACTCTGCAGACCTTCAGCTCACATAAAGCATTAGGGTGCATGGCTATAGGCTTAAGCGATGCCTAAAACCAAATATACCTGGTGCAGCAACCACTTGGGACAGCACAGCACTGCCACAGCCCAAATCCTTCCGACCCGTTCAAGCCTTCGGCGGCCGACAAGCCTAGGCCTTCAGTAGGCCCATAGGTTTGGAGGGTACATCCACGAGGTCCCTGAAAGAAAACATCGAAGCAGCCCGGATCCCGGCTACCTTTTTCTTCAAAGGGTTCTTGTCTGGAGTTGGATGGTTTGGGGATTCAAGGTTTCAGGTTGAGGGTTAAAGCCCTCAGGGCTCCGAGGTTTGATGGTTATAAGGCTAAGGCTTACATACATTAAAGGCTTGTGGGTTAGTTTGGGTATGGGAGGATGATCTCACGTCTGTGGCTTCACACTTGAATCGCGTGAGCCAAGACCTTCTGCCTCAAAACAACCGCATAGGAGCCGTTACGGGACGATGTCAAAATTCGTTGGTTTGATATCCCGACCAAACCCTAGCTTAAACCTACAATCCAACTCGGAAATTCGAAACTTGTCCGAACAAAATTAGACCAATTTAGTTCAGCCCCCAAGGAACCCACGCCTTCAATCTAAGGCCCCGCATTCCTCATTCATTCCGTTCGTGGTCGCCTGTAAATCGCCCCTTAACCACGTCATTCCGAATGTCGAATCTCATAGCATCCCTTACCCTTACTTCCCCGATGTTGGAAGGTGAGGCCACGTTCTTCTGTAGTCTCCATGTCACACTTCATGCCTCAGCACGCTGTTGACACATTCTATGTTGGCCTAGGACACCCTCGCAGACGTTGCGTGGTTTAGAAGGCCATACTTTGCATCCCAAAACCTCAACCCCCAGCAACCTGTTGCGATCTGCGTTGCCTTCTGAAAAGTTGGGGCACCTAATTTATGCGTCCCGATACATCATGAGGATCCTACTGGTCATGTGTTGCGTTACAACTCCATGCCCAGGTTCGAGGCACTCAGCCTGAGGCCTTCCCCGCAACCCAACCTGGACCGTTCCCACCCTGTCAACCATAACCCATAGAAAGAAATCGCAAGCCCTGGCCTCCTGAACAACTAAGCCCCTAAGATTGAAGACCCTGGTCCCCTGAACCATTATCCTGAAAGCCGAGGTCTCGGCGGCAGTGGCCGCATTTTCGGTGTCGGGAAGTTCTCTCCTACAGTCCGAAAACACCATGGCCAGGCCAGGGTGCCTTCGGTCCAGACCTTCAGTCGAGGTTAATTTTGTTGACAGCTCAGGGGATTCATGTCGCATAGAGAGCAGAGCTCAAGGGACTCGCATCGTATCGGTCGAATTTGTGCAGAGCTCAAGCGGCTCGCATCGTATAGGTTGAATGTGTAGAGAGCTCGCGGGATGCTCATCGTATCGGTTGAACGTTCAGAGAGCTCAAAGGATTCGCATCCTATAGGTCGATTTTGTAGAGTGCTCACGGGACTCGCCTCGTATAGGTCGAATTTGTAGAAGCGTCAAGGATTTCGCATCGCATAGGTCGAACTTGTAGAGAGGAGAGCTTAAGAGGTTCGCATCGTATAAGTTGAATTTATAGAGAGCTCAGGGGACTCCCCGTCGCGTAGGTCGAATTTGTAGGGAGCTTAAAGGTTTATAGAGAGCTCAAGGGATTCTAGGTTGAGTTTGTAGAGAGCTTAGGGGATTTGCATGGTATAGGGCGAATTTGTAAAGAGCTCCAAGGATTCGCATCGCATAGCTTGAGTTTGTAGAGAGCGCAAGGGATTCGCATCGTCTAGGGTGATTTTGTACCGAGCTCAACGGGATCTCATGGGGTTCGCATCGTTCAACTTTAGTTGTTGTAGAAGTTGAAGGGATTCGCATCGGTAGAGAGCCTGAGGGACTCGCATCGAATATTCTGACATTGTGCGGAGCCTATGAGATTCGCAGCGCTAGAATTCGTGGAGAGTTCAGGGGATTTGCATCGTATAGTTGGAATCTTGGTGAGGTTGGAGTCCTCAGCAAGACGGGCTCGAACGCTCTGCGGTGCCAGGGGTTTCGGTGGAAGAGTTGTGAGGGTTGGTGGCAGGGTCTGATAGAAGCTTAGACCTCAGGGTGTAAGGCCCAGAGGCTCTGGGGATCTACACTGGTTCACCCACAGGATGGAGCCGGCTAGAGGACTATTCAACAAAGGAGATACAAATCCTGCTGCAGCTCTTGCCGCAATGCTTTGTGACCAAAGTCAAGACATGTTTAGCTCTCGCGCATGTTTTCATGGCTGTGTGTTTTGTCTGTTTTCGGTGAGTAGTATAGGGGCCTTAATAATTAGAATAGGGTTTTGGGGATATTAATTACAATTATACAAGGAAGCCCCAACACCCTATTCTAATTATGAAGGCTCCTACAATACACATCGCCTCACAGGAGGTTCAAGTTTAAGTTTCAGTGAGCCCCGATCGCTAGGCTGAGGATCGTGGTGCACAGCAACTACGACAAGATCCGGCCGCTTTTGCCGCAATCCAGTGGCCATGCAGGGTTACACTTCCTGCTTTCGATTGAGGGATTTAATTCCTGCAAGAGGCCTTCGACCACTTCCTACGTGGAAGCAGGCGGTCGTACCTAACTGTTGGAGTTGACCTTGTGCTGCAACTCCCGGCATTGTTTTCGACCCAAACGCCTCGACACTCTGCCATATACATACATATATATATATATATCAAGACAAGGGCGACCGTGATGCAGAATGGCACGGATATGTCTGCGCACGCAGGGACCTGCAAATCGCATCCAAAAAGTGAAGAGCTTTGGTGTTGTTTGTCAGGCTTCTATCTTTGCTATGCTCAGGAAGCCCACAAACCTTCAACAGTACGCCAGTGAGCCCTCAGCGAGCCTGCATCCCGTGAAAGTGAGAGGATGGGATTTAGGGCTTGGTGTAGTGGAGCATAAATGGGACGGAACACATTCCTGAACCCCTCGAAACTCACAATTTGAGGGCGAAGACAACCCGAGCTGAGCGGATGCTTCTGGACGACTTCTTGAAGGCCGGGCATTTCAAGGCAAAGATTGTAATTTGGATAGTTCTCTAAAATAGGGGTCCCTTTCGGTCCCCCCAAAGTAGTGTGGCATCCTTCTAAACAGGACACTAAACTGGGCTCTAGTCTAAAGAACTAGCCATAAGAACAACCTCAATACCGAGGGATGTCATTGGGATCTTCATGTCGAGGATCAGAAGTGGGGATGTAATCTGCAAGTTCCTGGGGTCCGAAAGGGTTTGTGGCTGTTGGGCATCAGGTAACGGTGGTTTTCGTAGAGTAGGGCAGACCCTGAAGCACTCACGCCCCAACAGTCCAGACACAAAGCTTCGTAGAAGAGAGTTTCAGTTTCTGCCACGGCCTCAGGCCCCAAGCCCGAAGCAAAACAACATCAAGCATCCTCGAAGAGCGATGCTGAAGGATGCCATGCACGTGCAACAGCTCAAGTTAAGAAAAGCCGAATGAAAGGATCCGAGCCGGTTCACCAAGGGCTCTGGCTTCCTCCAGAAAAAGGAAGGGGCCGAGGCTGCTTCCGGGGTGAGGTGGGAATGATCTTCCATGTTTGTTCTACTGGTATACGCCCAAGGGTGCTTACAGCTCAAGCCTTTGAAGGCTTCTAGTTTGGGTACTTGGAGCAATGAGCGAGGGTGCAGTCGTGTTTTTCTGTATTTTTCAGAGGTTTAGGGCCGAGGGCAGTCGGCATCGAGGGTGTAGGGAGCTCAGGAGTTGTGATTGAAGCTGGTATTTCGTCTTGAGATAGGCTCCGGGAATTGGGGGTCGAGAGTGTAGGGCAGACTTCGAGGGCTTAGGCTTTAGGGCTTGAGGTCTGTAGGAGTCTAGATGAGCGTTCTCAGCGTCTCACATTCAGAGTTGCCTCAGTTCGGCGCGCATCGGCGCGCCAGTCAAAAGTGTTAGCTCCGGTTGGAAATGGACGCTTGTTCAGGGAGGTTGGCGACTTGCACTGCTGACATCAAGGGTCCGGGTTCAGAAAAGCGGCTTAGGCTTGTCTGGAAGTATGAGCCATCGACGCTGCAGGTGCTGGAGACGTAACTTGGATAACAGGTAACCTGCTAAGTTCTGATGCCAGAGCTCTTCACCTGTCCTCCTTTCCGGGCGGGCTTTGGTGGCGTATACTACCCTATAATTAATACGCATGTAGGGATTAAAACTCATCCCTCGTATTCTTGAGCCGTCAGACCTCTGTGCCGGCGCGAGGCGGAAGGCCCTGTGGATACGGTGGTGGGCCTCCTCCAGGCACTTTGGGGTTGCAGGGTGGCGGTTTAAGTATCGGATGTTGCAGAGCATGATGGTTGATAGTAGTAGTTCTAAGCAGTTGGAAATATGGTTTCCAACAACCGCTGTCAGCAATCAAGGCCATTAATAGCACGGTACAGAGTCTGAGTTGAAGATGTGAATTCTGTTGAGGCATACGACACAAGAAACCCTAGAACCTGACCTAACCCCTTAAGTCATGTGTTCAAGTTCGTCGTTGTGAGCGGTGTGGGGCATGGGAGGCATCCTACCTCTGCAAAAACTGTCATGAATCTGAGCGGGTCACAGACTGCTGTCCGTTGAGAGGAGGTGGTCAAACTTACTGTAGGGGGATGCTTGTCACCATGTGGGAAGTCTCGAAATGGTCTTCCCTTGTCGGCCCGCCTCAGGAAAGCACATCAATATGATGGTTTGGACGGAGCCATAAATCCCTACAACAGCCTTTTTGGACCCGGAAAGACCAAACCAACACTAAGGCCCAACACTGACGGAGACGTGCATATTTCCGGTCCATGAACTTACGCAGTATTAAACTTAAAGCCTTGATTTGGTTTGTTATACGTTCTAGGTGCTCTACTTCAGTGTCGGGGTATATGCTGCCTGGTTGCGGCGACCCTGAGGGAATAGTATCACTCACCGACCTTAGGCATGGTAATTCGGCAACAAGTCAACCGGCCATACAACTTGTGCGTCGCGTGCCGGCTGTCACCTTCATATCGGGGTTTATAATCAGAATCTAGTAAACAGTAATTAGGTTATGGTAATTAGCAATAGAAATATGGGTTCCTTCATAGGGATAATTGTGATGAGGGTAGGGTTCAGAGTGCTTGAGCATCTATCCTGTGCGTCCGTCCTTGCTTGGGGCTTCCGTCACCCCGAAGGCCATGGTTGGCGACTTTCAGCGCGACCTGCAGGACCAGAGAAAAGCGAGCTCCGGCATTCCTGCGTTTCGGCTCGGGGCAGCCCCAATGAAGATTTCCGGTGCTTGTGTTCCAGTTCAAGAAATCTTGTAACTTCGTTTGGGCTTACGGGCTCGGGTAAACGCTGTTGACTGCCTGGGAAAGTGTTGGTCTGCAGACGGCATATCCTTATCTAAACCCGGCACCCTCAATTCCAAAACCCTAAGCCCTTCAGACTACTTTCTGGCTCGCAAAGCCCTGACAGGAAGAGCAGGAAGAGGACGCCAAGTTGGAGAAGAGCTACCAGGAAAGGTCTTTCAGTTTGAGAGTGGCCACGTTTGGCCTTAGAGTAGATAGCTTCGTAATATAGAGGCCTGCAGAGACCTTGTCTTGATGTTCATGTAGAGGTATGTCATATCCTTCAGACTTGAAGCGAACTTCTTATCTGTTCTCTAAGCAAGACAGGGTCACTTGTTTTTGGCGCTTTAGTTTTGAGATGCTAAGCTCTGAAGCTCCCAGCATAAGGCAGGGTTCAGCGGTGGGCGGCTACCTGGTTTTCAACAGTAAGCCTTGGCCGAAGTCCCCAGCCTTTACACAAGCCTGGCCCTAAACCGGAGCTGGACGTCCTTGAACTGAAGCCACAAAATCCCTGCAAGCCCTAGCCCGCCCCATAAAGCACGCCAACCCTGAATCCTCAAACCCCAAAGCCCTGAACCCTCTTGAACCGCGGTGAAAGGCCCTGGTGGCCGCCAAGACGGGCGAGGTCGCTCCCAAACGCCGAGAATCTACAGAGAGAGTTCCTTTCCCCTTATATACAATAACAAAATATTACATGTGTATATATATATATATATGTGTGTGTGTGGAGTAGAACATACGATATAACAGCAACAAGTTGGATATGCGATACGTATAATGTTGAATATACAACTTACAATGGACGTTCTTTGCAAGGGTCGAAGGGCTTGAGAGGTTATGGTTGAAAGTTCCAGTTGCAAGAGGAGTTTTGTGACAGACCACACCATACCACGCATTCAGCGTGGCTCTGAGGACCCATAGTTGCAAGAGTAGTTCAGGGTCGAGGGTTTCATCATGTGCATGAGTTCTGTAAGGGCTTTGGGTTTAGAAGGTTTAGGGTTGTAATATTTCGGTGGATGTCACACGGGTTTAGGGTTACCCTCCGAGACTCTAAAGGCCGTGTTGTAAGTCCTTCGGCCCCAGCAGCGATACTAATTGCTCAAGACCACGGGGTAAGTTCGAGTTACAGCAGAATTAGCCAGAGTATGCCCATTCAGTGTACCAAAACCCCCTGTTCGAATTACAGAGGCCATGAAAGGCCGCTGCATCAAGGATTCTTGCCTTGGACTTTGCGCAGTTTTTGGGCGGTCCGGCTTTCGGGTTGAAGAGCCTCCGGCTGTCGGATAGCTGAGTCTTGGGACTCAACGTCTCCGGCCGAGGGCGTAGGGCCTGCGCATCGGCAGGAGGTTCCGGATTTCCGGGATTGAATGTAGATGTTTCGGATTTCTATGTATTGCTTAGGATGTGGGCCGAGGTTGAGGTTTCGGACGGTTACATATAGGGAGTTTCGGGTTTAGGGTTTAGGGTTGCATAAGACGACGGTTTGGGTGTGTCTCATGGTTTTAGTCGGGTTTGGGGATTGAAGGTTTTTTGCGGTTCGAGAGGTTCGTTCTGGGACATCCATACATCTCCATCCCCAGACGCTTTAAGGGATCCAAGACATCGAGGAAAGGCCATATTTTATCCCTATAAAGCCCCTGGTAGCTTAGCTTAGACGTCCGGACCGCGTTTCAGGACTGGGAGGGCGAAGCCTTAAGGTGCTGTATTTGAGGATTCAAAACGGATACTGCAATGTGGGTGTTTCCGAAAATAGGGGACCCTAATATAGTAGCCTAAATGGTAGGATCCCTATTATAAGGACTCCAAAACAAGGTACCCTAATTTCGGAAACTCCCATGTGCGTGTTGTGCGCTCGGGTCTCGTATTCTCTGAAGCGAGCTCTTGGTGCAGGTGACCGCGGCGGAGGATCAGGTGTCCACCAAGGCGCGTCGGGCAGCAAGCCCAGGTCTTTTCGGGAGGCTCTAGGTGCCTGTCAGGACGGATTCAAGAATCGGTGCCATTGAGATGTGAGGGGCAGGGCTTGTAGCCTTATAGGATTTCAGTGTGTATACAGCATCTGGCTTTCGGAGTGTCCGGCTTGTTGGGGCTGGGCTTCATTTCCTGTTTCGTCCTGTCTGACACGGCAACTCTAAGCCCAGTATGAGCCGAAGCAAGAAACTTCACATTGAAGCGCCTGACAAAATTTGATGCCGACCAGCAAACCTTTCGCAAGTTAAGGCTTGTTTCGGGATGCTGCTCCGCGTCGGGACGTCGGGTTAAGGGTTTCAAGGGAGCCACGGAGTCTTGGGATTTAAACTTAGCATCACTTCTTGGCTTTCACTCATACCTCCGTAAATTCTTGTGAATTAATCTCGTTCTGAGCCTTCCAAGTACAAAGCCACAGTAGGAGCAGTGCTCGTCTTCTGATTCCGACGGGCAAGCAGTGTTTCGATTGGAAAGCCCGGGAACTACGTCGAATGGCAACCACTTCGACTTCGACCCTGGTTTCCTTTCGATGCAACTTGCTGAGATAAACATAGCAGCTCATATGCCTGGGATCTTCAGGACCTGCCAGTTTAACAGGTTTCGGCCACATTCATTCTGTTTCACATGGTAACGCATGTCCGCAGCCTGATGGCCCAGAAGGGTTCCTGAGGGTCGGTGGAGGCTTGGGCTAGCGTTCCTACGAAGATCACAGGCGACCAATGTGTAGAATTCTTTCAGCTTCGATGCCGAAGCTTCCAAAACCGGCATATGCAGGGGGCTCAGAGCCAACATGCATGCCCCGCACAAGCCCCACATACATAACATCCTGAGACACCACCAGAGGCAACGACCGGAAGCCCATCACCAAGCGAGCACAGCAGTTGGTCTCAAGCACGAGAAGGAAGGTTTTTCTGCTGATGACTGCCCCGCCATGCACACGACCGCGCGGAGCTCTCGTCCCTGCACGGGCACCTTTTGTGCCTGTTTTCGCCAAAGCCACGGCCAAGGCCTCCGTCAAAGCCTCCGCCAAAGCCAAAGTCGCAGCGGCCAAGTCGGATGGGCCCCAGCCCGTGAATGTTCCCTGCACAGTGCCACCGAAGGCGCGACCGGTGGGAGTTCCGGTGCCAGCTCCCCTGATGGCATTGCCTGTGCTCCCCGCACCGCACCCTTCAGCTGTGCCCCAAAAGGCCGGCACCGCAAACGCGGAAACATCAGAGCTGCCAACGTGGACGAAGGCTTCCGCGCCTGCGCCTGGCGCCTCGCCGGTGAAGACGGAGGCGGAGTCGAAGGCCATCGAGGCAGCGCCAGAGAAGGCCGAGAAAGTCCAGGAGTGGTATGCAAAAGATGTCACCCCCTCACCATCTCCCAAAGAGCCCAGAAAAAGCTTTATATGGAATCCTCATAAACCTTTCATCTAAACCCGCCAAAAACACCGCAAAAAAGCGCCCCTCTTCAGCCCTTTTCAGGAGAAGGAAGAGCTCTCTGAGGACATGCAGCAGAAGCTCCAGGAGTGGTGGCAGCGCATCCAGGCGAGAGCCAGGCCGGGGCCCGAGGAAAAGGCGCAGCGACGAGTCTCTCCTTGCAGACGGTTTAGGGTTTAGGGTTTAGGGTTTAGGGTTTATCAGGATGGGATGGGGGTTTCCGAGAATAGGGGACCCTAATATAGTACCCTAAATAATAGGATCCCTATTATAAGGACGCTAAGAAAGCGTCGGACTTGAAAGGGAAGTGTGAGGATTCTTGTGGGGTGTTTTGTTTTGCAGTAGGGTTTAGTGGATATTTCAGGGTTGAGGCTTCGATTTTACGACTTTAAAAAGCAGTTTTGGTGTCCAAGCAGGAGCATTGAAAATGAAGCGGTTCTCCCATTCTCGTGGTTCTAGATTGCGAAGTCTTGGAAGTAGATGGATCTGAGAATTTGACGTTTAGCATACTCGCAGCATCAAGCTGCTTCTCTCGGAGTCGTCCAGCTAGACATCGTTCTGAGTTCCTCCTCTTACGTGCTCCATTTCCCCAATGTGGTGTCCGAACCAGGACGGTGGGACAGGCCAATCGGGGAACTAACTGCCAGAGTCTCTTCAGTCGAGAAAGGTTCAACAGTGGCAAAACCGGCAACCCCGGACCCGCCCCCTTCAAGAAAAAGAGTCCAGAATCCAGAAATCCTTCTCTTCACGGCCCTTTATGGTCGTGACTCGTGATCATCATCATGCTTATCATGGTTATTCTTGGTGTTCTTCTGCTTGTTCTCATAAACCCTTTAAACCCTAATCCCTATCAGCTCTTAACTTGTCACACCGACTGCGCGCGCATGGACCCTCGCCTGGCTTGTCCGAGTTGTGAGAGTGTAAACCGTATAAGCCCTAAACCCTAAATAGCCTAAGCCCTACAAGCCCTAAACCTTCCTCTTCCTCTTCGTTTCGTGAGAGCCCAGGAACTCGGGAGCGAGCCCGGCTGAAGGCCGACCTGGCTCGCGACGAGCTCGACGAGAGCTCCCGGCGTCGAACTGCCTCCAAGCAGCTGCGCCAGGACGAGGTGGCCCTTGGAGTGCGGTCTTTGCGTTATGTCCATATATATATATATACACGATGTATATGCATATAGACATACATATGTGTTTAACTGTATGTGTGTATACATACATACAGGCAGACAGACAGACAGAGACAAACATATATGTATGTATGTATGTATGTATGTATGTATGTATGTATGTATGTATGCATGTATGCATGTATGTCTGCATGCATTTGACACACATAAGTTTTCATGTGTATATACATATACATAAATAGTTGTGTATCTATCTATTCATTTCTTGTATTTCTTTTTTAATTCAGTTATACACGTGCATACTTACTTACTTACATACATATGTACATACACGCATACCTATAGATGTACATGACAAACAGATGCCTTGGACTTGGGGTTGGGCTTCGGTGTACCTATAGCTGAACAAAATAGAAGGACAGCAGGGTTGCCGTCACCGTTTCGAATTCGCTGAGGGCGGAAGGGTAGGGCTTTGCAGTGGCTTGTGTATGTGTAAATATGTATATGAATATAAATAAGTCTAATAGATACGAAGATAGAGTAGTAGATACATGTTCACGCAAGAACATTACTATCATACATCCATCGTCATCCATCCATGCATGCATGCATACAGACACGATCCACACCAGGGCATTGTAACGGCAGAAAAAGGGGTTCGGGCTTGTCATCTGGGGTTGAAGGTGTTTCGGCGCTCTCTGAGGCTTTAGGAAGGCCTTGGGACTGCGCATATGTTGAAAGTTCCCTGCGAAGGAAAAGCTAATTTAGGGGTTTCTCTGTGTGTGTACATATATATATATATATATATGTATGTATATATATATATATGTATATATATGTATGTATGTGTATATATATATATGTGTATATATATATATATTCAATTCGAAACCGAAAAGCCTGACGAGACGAAAGCCTTAGGGAGTGAGCCCAACTCGAAAGCTGGAAGCGGCAGTCGAACGGGCTTACGAGGCGAAAACACGAAAGACTGAACCCAACTCGAAACTGGGCAGTAAAAGTAACTTTAGGGCTCTAGGGATGCACCGCGATGCAGGGGGGCTCTCCTAAATAGGTCCCACAAGTGTCCCCAGGGGTGGAGCAAAAGCGAAATCTCATAGTGTCAAGTCTGTACAATCGTAGATGGTCAGAATTAGAAGACAGAGGGTTCAGGGCGAGGTGTCGCGAGTCCAATGTTTCTCTTTACCTTAGCCCTACTAGGCTATTTGTTGCTCGAGACGCCTTTAACGTAGAAGCTTCTATGTAGCCGTAACCACTAAGTTCTACGTAGGTCCTGCCGTGAGACTTGGAAGGCTCACAGCAACCATGCCAGTAGCCAGTAGCCCATGAGTTTTTCGAGGGCTGTGCACAACATCGAGACTCAAACCCTCAAGCCCTACAGCGATACATCCGAAAGCCGGCACAAGTGGACAGGTGTACCAAAGCCTGAAGCCTGAGCTTAAAACACCGAAACCCGAGTCCAGGCCTTCCTCCGTTGCATGGCCGGCGGACGTCTTCTCGCTTTAGACCCTTCCAAGAAAGGGAGGGGTCCTTCGTGCTTTTTTTCTTAAAAGGCCCCATAAAGCGAAGTACCATGCGAGCCTGAAGACCCTGATATAGATTGTAAGGGTTCCTATCTATCCACGACAAAGCCCAAGGGAGCAGTCCCCAGGGTCTACACCCATAGGCCCCATAGTAGCTCCTTTTTGGGGTTCATATTTAGAATCCTATACGGTAATCCCAAAAAGGAACTACTATGGGGCCTCTGGGTAGGGTATGATTTGAGGTTGGGGATTTGGTTTAGCGTTGAGTGTTCTAGCTTCATCACAGCTTTTCTGGCCGGCACCTCAGCCCGTGCTAGAAAAGGGGGTTCTCAGCTCCGGAACATACATGTGCAGCTTTAGGGTTTGCGGGGATACGCGATGTCAACTGCTGTTAGCGCGGAAGAACACGCTCATTGCCTGTAACTGCCCATATGAGGGTCGTACATCATCCGTGCAAGAAGCCAACCCTTAGTTAGGTCTAACATCTTCTGACAATTTTGGGGCAGCGAAACCGAACCAAAACAGCACCAATTCGTCAGCTTTATAGCAGCTTTTGGGAACCCTGAACAGTAAATCATTCAATATTTGTGACCCTAGGAGCAGTAGGCAGGTGATGCAACAGGTGAGGCCTATGTAAACTCTAAGCCCCGTAATCCCTGTCTTCGTGTTAGAAGGAAGCACATGGGGTATTAGCACCTCGCTTCAGTAGGGTAGGGGAATTTGTTAAAGCTTCTTAAGTGAAGAAGCCCTCCCAGGACCTCACTGCAAATCTCCGGGACTGCCGAATGCTGGCGAGCGTTGGGTCTTCTGATGCCCTTAGAGAAGCCCTGGCTGAGCTGCACCCTGGTTGGAACGGTGAAGCCTCAGCTAGGTCATACCTGTTTTTTTGACCGGAGCCGCAGGCAGGGCTGAGGGTTGGCATGCGAATGTTTTTGTTATGAATACGGAAATTGGGTCACAACGGCAAATCGTTCAACCTGATTTGCAAAGCGTCCAGCAGGGGTCCTGATGCAATGTTATTCATCAGGTGTCTACTTCTGAGGATCAGGAAGTCGCAGGTAGTCAAGCGTGGTTTTTGCGATGCTTCTAACTTGCTCACCAAGTCAGCCTACCTTCCCTAGTCATCGTAGATCTGCATCAGGCAATGGGCACCTACCACTATGACTTCAGTTGCCGCAAGGGGCTAGCTAATGGAGTGAGATCTAACTTATGGGGGCTCCACCACGAAAGGCATGCTACGGCAGTTCAAGGGTATTCTTCTCGTAGAACTCATGGCCTCAATCATGCATTTTAGGGTGAAGGTCTATGCTTGGACGGTCACCGTGTGGGGGGCTATGATCACAAAGAGCTTACCACTACACTCTACTCTACTCAGTGCTATTACTGAAGTCCCTTAATCTCTTTCTTGATACTCGCAAAGTCCTGCGCATCCCCACAGATGCATGATGATGAATCTGGCATGCGAGCGTCTTCCTTTGCGCGATCATACAACCAGTACCTTTCCATCCGAAGCCCCAAATCGCAGATTCTTTCATTGCCACATTCAGTCCGACTTCCTACAGTCAGGCCCTAAGCCTGATATTGTCCGAGCATGAGGCTGCTGACAATGCGCCGAGCTCGTGGCCTGTGTGTGCGGCTGCATGAGGACGCCTCAGATGTAAGACCTTTTCTAGCAGCGTTAATCAGACTTGTAACAAGGTTTTGTGGTATTCTATACTACATTGAAAAAAGGGTTCTAAAGGGTATCATTCCCAATAGCTAGTTATCGGACCCCGCCTGAGTCTTGGTCTACAGAAGCACGAGCAGCGCAGCCTTGCCGGGACTAGAGCTCTTTTGGTTACCTTGCTTCAATGCCTTGTTCTGATTGCCCATGAGCCCTCCTTTGGCTTTTCGGGTAAGGCCCTTGGGCAACTGAGGACTTTGGCGCACGATTTTAAGGCTTTAAAACATGCCTCAGGTTCGCTGTTTGGCTTCTCTTTTGGGTCTTCATGGCTTTGCGGCTTTGGGTGTTAGTAAATAGGGCAGGGCGCTGACTATGTAATCCGCTCCGACTAGGCAGCCTTAAACAGGGCTTTCTTGAAGGGAGCGAAGATACCGGAATGGACACCGCGTGCTGTACTTTACCTTTGCTTGCCACTTTTGCTGCCTGAAGCTCTTCCGCTTGGAAGGATTCCAGGGCCCTCGGGCTGGACTTGCTCTGGTTGGGGGATGTCTGTCTACTTTCTTAATAGTAGCATTGTATCTTAGAGTGTTCCAATTCTTGTTAAGGCCTCCATGGTACCTCACTTGCTGGGACGGTCTTCCTGGGCCATGTCAAACCGTAAGGCCTCCAAAAACTCCGAAGGCTGGGATCCGAAAATGTAGCACAAACTCGAATCCCTGCTCCCATGCCTTGGGCCCAGCAAGAGCCAGGATCAGCGTGAACTACAACAGGATTTCGCGAGCAAGTGCGAGCGGGAGGAGGTGGGCAACAGTTTTTGGCTGGCGTTTCTTCACACTGAGCTGAAAGGAACAGTCGGATGTTTATCAGAGCTCTGGGGTGGTTTACTTGGCTCACCGCTCCCGAAAGAATAGCATGCTCTTCACGATCTTCTGGAGTTGAATCCCCGGGGCGCAATCAAATATCCCTTAAATCCTGAAACTTCTAGAGCCCTCAAGTCTCGGCTAGTTTGAAGCCCTTCATCGCTAACCCTTCAAGCCCAAAAGCTAAACTCCAAAGCCCCCAGGAAGTGAGCCGGCAGCGGCGACTTGGTCTCCTCCGACGCCTGGCGAAGCTGGAGGAAGCAGAAGAGGAGGAACCGGCTCGGGAGGAGCCCAAGAAGGCAATCTTGACGTTACGGTTCAATTTTTACGGCTGATAGGCCGTAGGGTTTACCTCAGGTGGGTGTTTCCTGTGATAAGGGTTTATAGGCTTATGGTGTTCCAGGCAAGTGGGCGCCTCGCTTACTGGTTTGGAGTCTGGGCTTTGGGAATAAGGTTCTGGACTTCGAGGTGTTGTGGTACTGTAGTTTGTGGTGTTGCATGGTTTTTCAGGGGACTAAACCAGGGACCCTTAAAGGGACCCTCGGGGTTATATGGGGGCTTTCTGAAACTATATAAGGGTATGTAGGTGTATATAAGGGTTATATAGGGTACGTGGATTCGGGGTCCCTCCTGCTGTCCCTTAAGTTTTGCTGGTTTTGTCGAGAAATCTTGCCTTCTCAGTCCTCTCCTGCTTGGAGTGGGCTTTGAGAACGAGCTTCCAGGGTTAAAGAGTCTCAGTGGCCGTACATCCATGATATATAAGGGCTTAATGTATTGAGTATGCTTTTGGTGCATATTATTGTAGCCCAAATGTTTAGGCATCTAATCACGGGATAGGTGTAGATCTCGCAAAATCGGGTCGCCTTTCGGCCATCCCCCACCAGAAAACTACATGAGTAGCAGCTGCAGGAACTCCAACTGCCTGCAGCTGGAAATTTGAGATTTTGGTTTGGGGCTTCAAATTTGAGTGTAAGCCTGCAGGGTATAAGCTTGCATGAACAGCTACATGCACTTCGCCCTGTTCGCAACCCTTGACCCTGAACCGCTTGACGGAAGGCACATATCCCGCCATAAAGCCCTGAGAGCACCCGGAACCCCTTAGTTCGGGAGGCGCCCGAGCCTGACTGCCTTTCGCTGCTCACGGCTGGCGGCGTCCCTTTGCTGGCGGAGCTGGCACATGAGGCCGCGCAGCGAGCACAATGAACCTGATGATCTTATTTCGTCCTTTAGCAGAATCAGAATTGCCTGCACTTCAAGGCATGGATCTGTATTACCGGCACTGAAGAGGTATAGCGTTTGAGTGAGCAGGAGTCCTCATGGCAACTGCGATTCTTCAGACTTCAGAGAGTGCCAACAATAATATTAAGAAGCAGCCAAACTTGCTCGAGAGTTAACCGCCAAGCCTACAGTGTTTACAAACCTGCACAGGGCCCGAAACTTGGCAGCCCCGCAACCCAACACCAAACTATTCAAATCTTGTTAGTGTTGGCTCACCCGCAAAACCATATCCTAAGCCACCAAGACCTTTGATGTCCAAATGTGAGGGTTGAAGCCCTCACGCTTGCTGAAGGGTGGATTGATGAGCATGACACGAACTATTTGGCGGCCTCAATAGGTTCAATAGGCTCTTAACGGGTTCGTTCGGGGTCGGGTGCAAAGGGTGTCGCGGGGGCTTTGGTACCTGGGATAAGTTTGCTGGGACAGTGAGATTGATTCAGTGGATTTTGGAGTGCATTCAGACCTGTTTGATGCATGATTTTTTTCCGGCTGAACTCTGCGAACGCCTTGCTAGATCCCTACACCATGCAAATCCAGTCAAAGCTGGAACAATCAGCATCGCTTGCATGGGCCTTTCTAAAAGCCTGGATCAAAGCGAGCCCTCATGTCTTATCCTAATTGCATGGGAGTACTGTCTGAAGGCTGCTCAGTCTAACGAGTGCTGATACCTTACATCCTGAGCCCATGAACAATAGAACGCTAAACCTATACCTTAACTCAAACCGGCAAGAATACGCTGGGAGGCTGGCGCCGAAGGTCTTGATCTGGATGCGGCCAGCGACCAAGTCGTGGCGCCGCCACTACGCGATGCACAGGCTACGGGGGAAGCGGCTTCTGGGTACAGAGTCAATGCCGATGCGTCGGTACTGAGATTGGGGAACAGCCTCGGCCTAGACTCTCAAACACGCACCCGAGAAAGGGATCACCCAATGGCACGAAACACCCTTTGCAATCAATGTCGTAAAAGTCGAAAGGTTCGTTGAGAGCAGGCTTTTGCGAGGGCTTTTGGTTCAGCAGTTCACTCGTCTTCGAGCGTGCCCGATGCCGGTCAAAACCCCACGAGCCAAAGACTGGTTGAGGGGCATCATATCAGGGCGCGAGTCATGTTCAGGTATTATTCCTTAAGGCTCCTGATTACAACCAGACGACAACCTCTCACAAAGCCCTGTTGCCTTGAGCTTTGTGAAATCCTGAAGCCTTCAAGTCCCACATGCCTTAATTCAGCACGCTCTTCCGACTTTATCCGGCCAGGAGGTCGTTCGCCAGCTTCGCGAGCTCCTGCTGCAGGCGGCTATTACACTCTCGAAGCAATGGGGTGAGAGATCGACACGTGTAATGTTTGCTGTGCCATATCTGTGTGATGTGTTCTCTTAGCTTGACTATGATTGTGATTCTTCTTTGTTGTGTCTGTGAGTGTCAACGTGAACGAAACTCCAAGATGCAGCCACGTCAATATCATCAGTATCTTCATCATCATGAGGGATGTTAGTCCCCTCTGTGCTGAGATACTTCCTGACCCTTTCAACGAAGCCGTCTAGAAACCTTGAAAAGGAACCCTTGTAAGCCCCTTAGCAGACCCTTTCTAGAACCCTGGTGTAATGCTCTTGTAGGAACCCTTACAGAACTCAAGGATCCCTTCAAGGAACCCTTTGAGGAAGGCCTTATACAACCTTACAGGAGCCGTATGAAAACCTTTGGCTTTCACCCTTTCACGAACCCCCTTAACCTTGACGGCACTCTCAGACGGACCGTTGTGAACCCTTTCAGGAACCCGGCCCTAAGCCTTTGTAAAGCCCGTTAAGGCACCAATGTGTTTAGTTTGAGGAACCCCTTTCGGGACCCTTACGAAGCACTTGAAGGAACCCCTGTATCTGCTCGCAGAGGCTGGATTGAACCAGCCGCCAGTGAAGCGGAGACGTCCGGAGGAACCGGCTCCCCCCTTAAGGACCAAATGACCCGTCGACGCAAATATTGGGAGTTTCAAAAATTAGGGTACCTTATTTTGGGGGTCCTTATAATAAGGATCCTATTATTTAGGGTACTATATTAGGGTCCCCTATTTTCGGAAACCCCCATATTGCGCTCTATGGTTTGACATAGCTTTATCTAAGCCCTATATGGGGTATGAACCTTGGTAAGCCCTTTTTAGGGTTCATTTGGTCCTTAAGGCCTTCCAAGGAAGCTTCGGTAGGCAATTGGGTATAGGCCTTGGGGGCCGCGAAGATCAAGTCAGAAGCGTTAAGCAAGGATGCCTGAGGGATATGGGGGGTTTCTGAAAACAAGGGGTACCTGATTTTGGGGTCCTTATAGTAAGGACCCTAGTAGCCCTAGTATTTAGGGTACTATATTTGGGTCCCCTATTTTCGGCAACCCCCATATTGTAGCATGTTCTGAGAGGTTCTAGCCGTATTCACCCGTGCATTGGAATAACCCGTCCCGCCTCGGAACTCGTCCCCTTCCTTTAGGCGTCACCATACTCTAGGGGTCGGAAGCATACGTCCCTGTATCCCTTCATAGTCTTCCCGTAACCTGTACCTATGACCCAAAAGTCCTTGCTAAGCGGCAAAAGGGCGCCATCCGAGCGAGAAATTCGCTTCTTCCAGACCACTTCGCCTCAGAGGGGCCTAGAGCTGATTTCAGGTTCACACGCCTTTGCGCACAAGGTATTGTAGGGGCCTAAATGATTACCAATACTGTTTTGTGGTTCCTTATTACAGTTGTGGCACCAAAAACCTATTCCAATTATGAAAGCCCCTACATTAGACACTTTCGTTGGCTCAGGGATAGGAATGGGGCTTTGTTTCTTCTTGTTCGGGTTGGTTAAGATGGTTGTTGGATTCGCACGAAGACTCATGCAGTAGCCCCTGTTGCAAGTCAGGGAAGGTGCTAGATCAAAGCGGAACAGATATCTAGTAATTAGATATGCTCAGTGTACCCAGTTTCCGATCCCGACTATCACATCATCTTGCCTTGCCTCTTTTCCAAGCTTTCTTGCTTTGCTTACCCGGGAGCAGCACAGCCAAGCGAGGGCAATCTCTCGATTGGCCCGAGACGAGTCGTCGCATTGCGCGCGAGAGACAAAAGGTACATCGAGGGGATGATGCGGGTTTAGGGTTTAGGATTTAGGGTTTAGGGTTTAGGGTATAGGATTTAGGGTTTAGGGTTTAGGGTTTAGGGGTTTAGGTTGGAGCTTCGATCTCAACGTAAACCAAAAAGAGCTACATCTACCCTAGTAGCAATGTTTCCCTGCTGTCCGAAAGACAAAAAACCCCTAGCGCAAGAATGTTCCAAGAAGAGCTGCCCCTATCAGATATCCAGAGAACAGCAATCAACGTGAACCCTACATGTCCCAAACCTATTCAGCAGGGATCCTGAATTTAAGGGCACCCTATCGGGGAGCCCTGGTATTAAGAAGCCCCTTCTTGGGGTTCAGGGGCCTCATTAAGTTCGTTTGTGTTTGGGATTATGGTTCTACTATGTCTTAGTTGTAACCAGGGTAACCCGAACGATGTGACGTCTATTCGCAAGACAGTTGCAGAAGCCTCACTTGCGATTCGAAGTCGAGAGGTCCCACAGAATGCGGCAGGCCTGAATAACTAAAGCTCTTTTGCCTGGAAGCCTCAACCCCGAAAGCACCTCCAAGAACTTGCAATGCTAATCTGCCAACTATGATGGAAAATGACAAAAATCATCATCATAATCATGATCTATCATGGCTCAGCCGGCTTGGAGGTCGAGAGGACGTGGTAAGTCTAGTGCATATCTCTTCCATCCCGTGTAGACAGCCACATCATCCTTTGTTCCGCTGCTTGCCAAGAAGACGTTGAAGACGTTTCCAGTGCCCAAGTACACCCACCATCAGAGCTTTTTCTCCTTGGTGCAGGAAGAAGAAAAGGCGACGGCAGCAGAAAAGGCAGGACGGTCTGCTCGAAGCCGTCCGTGGAACTTAGGGTTTGGGGAAGCTGTACATCAGCATTGGCACGTTTGGTTTAGGGCCTGGTGACTTGGGCGGGGTTTGTGGTTTGGGGACCAGGCGGGGCATCAACTTCAGTGCTGAAGACTTCGGTAGTTGGTGTTCAGGTTGGTGCTGAGCGTTGAGCAGGGCAAGAGATCCAATTGCATGATCATTGAATTGTGGCGGTGCGCATCCTGGAGGCTTTGACAAGTGTGCCCACGATTAGGATGGCGATGATGTTGTTGTTGACGGTTGTTAAAGATGGTGATCTTCGGCTAGTCGCTGACATGATGGATATACGCGGTTCGCGCGAAGTGCCATGCTTCTCATCTTGGCAACACACACGAAATCGTCATTCAAGATTTGAAGAAGGGGTGAAAAGGATCTCAACCTGTCTGAAGGTCACAACCGGCAAGGCCGACGTGGCCGGCGCCACCAAAGCCAAGGCTGTGCCGCGGGTGTCCTAATGACGCAATGAGGCAATTTGACATTAAGGGTTCCTGTAACTGTGCCTTCAATTGTTCTCCCTTGTCGGGGTTTCTATTGGAGAAGGCATAAGCCCCAGAAGCTGCGGCTTTCTGACTCTGCAAACTCGAACATGTAATTCCTGCACCTCACACCTGCTGCAGTGCAAAGCAACCTGAACGCAGTGACATAGGTGCCTGAGCATTCAGTATGCAGCGGCTCAGAGCCTAGCCAAAGGAGTCAGGATTCCTTACAACTATGATAGGCAGATCTTTCGTTCAGAAAGCTCGAAACTCCAGAGAGTTCCTGTCAACCCAGAAAAACGCTGGTAGGGAGCCATCTTTCTGTCCCGACGAAAGCTGTCTAAGCCGCTTATTTAGGGCCTAGGGTCGAAATCCTGAGCAACAGCCACAGCCCTGGGCTTGCAAAAAGCCACTGCCCTACGCCGTTTTTTTCCATGAGTGTCCCAACCTTCCGCTAAAGGAGCGCGCCGACACCTTTAGAGTCCCCAGAGTCCCCAGGTCTCGACTGAGACCTCCGGTGCTTGCTGTGGCGTGCGATGCGTGGACCCCGAAGCCCCAGCCCCGCATCCTGAAGACGAAGATACAAACCCTAAAAACCCGAAACCCGAAATCCGAAGCCTCAAAATTCACCGTCCGATCCTCTAGGCTTCAAATCTCAGCCGTCAGGCCGAAGCAGAGAAGCTGCTGGAAACCGTCACGGAGAAGTGCGCCAGCTCAAAGGCGGGACTCACCCGGGGCTTCTACAAGGATTGTAGGGGGTTGCCTAATGGGGGCTTGAGCCTTAGTAACTAGACGATGGACCTCGTCAGGTCTTCAGAGGGGTGCTGCTTCGCCTTCTGTGATTGAAAAAGTGTTGCAACGTAGGGATTTACTGGGATTGCTGCTTGGGGGTCGCTGTAAAAGGTTCCTTGTACGCAGTAGAGGGATCACACTTCTTTACGAGGCGACTGGCAATTTTGATCCAGGAACCTATGGTTCTCCAAAGCCTTTTTTACACTTTTCAGGCTCCTGGTTCCTATACTTAAAGCTTAGCAGGCTTAGTCCTTTGATTCATTGGATTGACTCCTTCGCCACAGCGCTCCACACGCCGATCCCAAGGCCGTTTTGTTCTTGTAGGTGCCAAGACCTCGAACTAAACGGACCCCAGCACCAAAATCTTCGCTCCTACACTCGAAAGCGCCTCGGGACGTTCTACCTAGAGTTCTGCCCCTAAGCCGTAATCCTTGAAGCCCTCTATGGCACCCTTAAAAGGAAAGCCTTACAAAAACCCGTAAAGCCCCTAGACTCAAACCCTAAACCTTCTGCTCGGATCCTCATTGCCATGCCTGCCTTGTGCGGGTGTGTGAGTCGAAACCTTCTAAATCCTCTAAGCTTTAAACTTCCCAAAGTCGAGGCAGAGTTCGAGCAGCGGACTGCCACGCGTACCGAGGATTCTCCCAAAGAGACACCAAGGTTTTGGCTTTGGGGGTTTGGGATTGCGGGCTTAGGGTTTAGGGTCTATTCGGTCCATGCTTAAAAGGGTCTATTCGGTAAAGTGTGCTCAGGGTTTAGGATTTCGAGAAAAAAAAGGAGGGGCCTCTTACACTACTCGGGGATCCTGAAAAGGTTTATTACTATTGCTTCCCCAGTTTTTGTTAGGGGACGAAATGGAGCAAGGGTGCGTTATGTGGGGGCCCCTATCCGATTGAGGATCCCCCTCTTTTTCTGGAACTCCCTTTTCCTGCCTGCGGGTTCTCTTCGGGTTTAGGATCCCGACTGTATATAGCTGGTAAGGAATATTCCTGAATTCTGGAACGTTCCGTGTCGAGCATCCATCCTGTACGCTTTGAGGGGTCTTGAAGAGCTACTCCTGAATCCGAACACTTTTCTCTTAGGGTTTAGGGTCTGGGGGGTTATTTAGTCACATTAAGGCAACGGCGGCGGTGGTTGTAGTCGTCGTGGTGGCGGTGGTGGTAGCAGCAGCAGCAGCGGCAGGTTTGCTACACGTGCGACGCATGCATTTGGTGACCCGACAGCACGCAGAGCTTTCTTCGAGAAGCAAGACAACTGAGCAAATGGAATTGGAGCATAGCACCGATGTACTTCAACAGATTGGTGGCACCGCGGGGGTGGGAGTTGGCACCCAAGGCTGTACTCGTCAGATACAGCTGGTCACCTCGCGCACTTCATCGCAGTTTTTAGCACTTGCATAGGACAGCTCAATGCATGGGCTACTACATGCAATCTGCGTCTGCATTGGAGCTGCTGCCTCGCCTCCGTCGGATCGTTGACTTCCTTGTGCCATGACAGCAGCTGTCCTGGACGTTTGTTGTGCACCGCGAGGGTGAGCGTTGCCTTAGTTAGGGCCCTGGGTAAGTAGGGTCCTACAAGATGGAGTTTTTAAAGCCATTCATAAGTAAGCCCTTGAGGCCTAAAACGTTTAAAACTCACGAACACTCCGCCTACACCCAACTTCAAACACTCTCAGACTCCACTCCTGACACTGACACTCCAAAACCCAGCAAGCCTCCGATCAACCCCAGAACCTGGAACCCAACACTGCTTTCGCGAGCGGCTGCCAGGAGCTCTCGGCCGTGAGCAAAGCTGTCAAGGAGCCTTGTGAGAGTTTCAACGGTTCAGGTACAGAGCTCGAGGTCTGTGTGTCGAGTCTCAAGTCTACGTGGCTGTCAAAGTTAATGCGAGGTGTGGGTGGTCGGGCCTTTGAATTTTGGATATGCTAGCTTGAAAGAAGGACAAGTTGAGCGCCCGCACGAGTTTCAGGATAATCCGGGTGTAACTGCAAGATTGCCTATGTAGATGGAGACGCGTTAGTGGGCAAGGGGTGCACTTCAGCTCTAGCGCAGATATATCCTGTTTGGAGCCCCAAGGAGACCAAAAAGTGTGAAACGCCAAACTCCAGTACCCGGTGTCAGGGATCGGCTCGCATCGCAGTTGTTGTTTTGGACATCTCCCTGACAGAGCAGTACATGCAGTAAGGGGCCTGATCAAGGGTTCCATAATTAGTTCCAGGGCATCATAGCAGTGCTCGAACAAAAGGCGGTCACACCTGTTATAGTCTCCATGAAAACTACCATCTAATGCACCCCAGACCCTCTTCTAATTATTGAGGTCCATATCTTTACACCGTCGACACAAGGATTTCGGAGGGGTACCCAAACCCTACCTTATCAACCCTAAACCCAAAGCACGAATTGTGTTCCCTCCTTGCTTGGAGCGCTTTACTGCATGGTCTTACGATGCTGTTCTCCTCATGGGTAGTTCTCAAGATTCGGGTCCCTTTTTGTGTCCTCAATATAGTACGGCAACCACTATAATAAGGACCCGAAAAAGGACCCCAAATTTACCCCCCAAAGGGTCGAAATCCGGATGGCTCCGGCACAGGCCTTGCAAGGGGATGAGGCGAAGTCACTCCTCTCCACTGCAGCGCCCGGTTCTTGGAGTTGTTTGGGGTTTAGGGTCATGCGGTGTTGGCCTTGAGGGCTTAGGGTTGAGGGCTTTGGGTTTAGGGTTTAGGGGTCTAGGGGTTTAGGGTCTAGGGTTTAGGGTTTAGGGCTTGCAGGTTTTGAGCCTAGTAAGTTAAGGCGCAAATAGAACAGCCCTAGATTGGGTTAACAGAAGCAGAATCTGTCCGTTCTGTTGCGGAATCAGGTTTTGGGATGCTTCAGAAGCTAAAGGTATAGTATAGTTACTTGCCTTGGGTCGAAAAGGGTCAGGAGAACCCTCACGTCTAAACTGTCTAAAACTCCAGATGCTGAGTGCTTTGAGCTGCAGGGTACTTAGGGGTTGTAGTAGCGTTTGGGAAAGCTTGAATTCATACCCCACAGCCCTTAAGTCCTAAACCTAAGTCAAGTCCTTACCTGATCCCCGTGATTAATTCACCCGAAACCTTGCATCCCGAATCCGACTGAGACCGTTCAAATCTCAAGTCAGAGCGAAACGGGCAAGAACGGAAAGCACCTAAAGCCCCGAGCCACACAAGCCGCCTCAAAGCCCAAACCGCACATCCCAAAATTTTAAACATCCCCAAACCCTGAACCCCACAAGTGGAAAACCCAAAAGCCCTAAAGCTAAAAACTAAACAAAGACCCGTGCCAAGGTCGTTCCTGCAGCTCAAGGCTGTGGATCAGCGCCAAGCGAGGGCGGCTGAGGCCTCTGGGTTTCACAGCCTTCATCGAAGATAGGATCAACATGATCATCCTTATTGGGGGGGAGGTATGTTCACCGGGTGGTGCTCTATGCTTGCCTGTAGCCCGATCCCTTCAACCAGTATAAACCACCAGCAAAAATTCCAAGCGTGTTGGACGGAACATGAGCACCTTGGACGGAACATGAGCTTGGTACACCATTAACACCCTCTACAACCCGAACCCTGAACACTCTGAGCATAAGCCGAAAACCCAAAGCCGCCCTGCCCTGGAGTGGGACCCTGGTGCCCTAAAACCTCGCAGGTGCTTTCTGCCGCTGGCAAGCGACTCGGAAATCAGGCGCGTACACTTCCGCTGCTTCCCCTCAAAGCTCCAAGGAGGCGTTGGCTTCTAAAAGGCCCAGAGTTTTGTGTACAAGGTATTGAAGGGGCCTAGATCATTACCAATACTGTTTTGGGGTTCCTTATTACAGTTGTAGCTTCATTTAGGGTTTCGTAACTACTTTTGAAGCCCTTCTGGGGCCTTTAGAAGCGAGGGCCTGAAGTAACTTAGGGTAGCTGGCGTTGTCTGAACTGAAGTGCGCACCGGAGCTGTCATTACAGCGCCAAACAAGGGCTCTTGGTGTACAGAGAACACAACCGTAGACCTCAAACTCAGAGTGTTGGAGGCTTTACGCCTCTGCTGCTTCGGCTTGCCTTTGCCTAGGCTTCCGAAGACCTAGCATATATAATAGGTAGCTAGGACTCCGGCGCCATACAAGGCAACAGGAAGACTGTACCTTGGAATTCTTTCGATGTTGGTTACGGAGTTTGGTGTTGAGGGGTTCAGGTTTTAGTTAGGAGGCAAAAGTGTCTGCATATCTGTAGAGTTATAGAAAATGAGCAAACTAGGATAACTGGACTTCGAAGGTGTCTACTTCCCAGCTTTACCCAGAAAAATGAGAGCAGGGTTCAATCTGTGGGTGTCCGAAAATAGGGGACCCTTATATAGTACCCTAAATAGAGGGATCCCTTATTATAAGGACCCCCCAAAATACGGCACCCCTTATTTTCGGAAACTCCCATCTCCCTTTGTGACGCGCTTGGAAGGCGATGATCACTCTGGGTCTTCAGGTGGCCTTGCTGCGATTTTTGCCGTGGTTCTTTTGAGGGACTCCGAATATAGGGGCCTAAATATTTACCTGTATTACTTTGGTGGTTCCTTCTATATTATTTTGTTGGTTTCCTTACTATACTATTTTGGTGGTTCCTCATAATAAATATAGTATAATGGGCCCCCAAAACCCTCTTAATTATTAAGGCCCCTACATCATGCTGCAGGTTCCGGGTCTAGGCTAGGTCCTAGGTCACTGGTACCCTTAAGCCATCTTCTGCGGGTGTCCTCCTTAAAGTCAGGCACACCTTAAACCTTCAAGGGAACCGTTTACAGGAGCCAGTAAACGGACACATAAAGGAGTCATGTGGGTAGTTGTCAAAATTATGGTCCCGTTTTTGGGTACCCTGAATAATATAGGTGCTCGTATTATAATAAGGACCCAAAAAGGGACCATAATTTTGACAACCACCCATGTATAGGAACCCCCTACACAGGCGAAGGGCGATGGCATCCTCAAGGTGCAGGAAGCCATCGACGTCCGGGCTCCCGGAAACGAAGCCTCTTCCAGCTTGTTGTTCTTGAAGGGCAAGGCATGGGGATTTAGGGTTTTGGGCTTATGGTTTGCAGGTGTTATGCCATTTGCGTTTGGGGTTTACGGCTTCGGCTTTTGGGTTAAAGCCTGAGGGTTTATTCTTGTGTCGTACCCAAATACAGCCTTTGGTGTTGCTTCCATTGCGTTTATTTCTGTGAGTTTTGATTACCACTCTGCGAATGCATTACTCCGATCGCTGCCACTTTTATGTCTGTGACGTTGTTGAACTGAAAGTGGGTATGTAGGCTCTGTTTGGAGTTCGGGGGCTTCAGAGATCGAAGAGTAGTGAATTGTATACCAGAAAGCCATGGGTGCGACCAAAACCTGAATCTAGTTCCCCTTGTTGGCTTCCCCAGAGGATCTTGTTTGCTACGATTTTCGGAGCGGAGACTACGGCCTGCAACCCCGAAACGACACGTGGCGAACTACATTCAGACTACAGGCCGGTTTGCGGAACAGCCAGCCTGATTTATCAGTCTTCTATGTTACTGGGTCCATGGCATGGGCCTTGGCTTTGGCCCTCACCCCGACGCGTCAAACATCTTATTCCAGTAGGTTTGAAGTGATGAAACACTGGAGCAGAACAACCGGCCAAAGACTACAGAAGAACCGATTGGGGTGTAGGGTTTCGAGCTTACTGATAGATGACCTAACAAGGCTCACAGTGCAGTTCCACTGGGGGCAACGCAATAAAGCGCCAAATGCACAGCACGTGCCAGATCCAGTGAGCAGCACTCCCACAATGATGACCCTGAGCCTTAGCCGGGGTTCCTATACAGGGTTCTACCAAGCGTCCCATTAAAGGCTTTTATAGGGTGCTACCATATAGGGTCCCATGGACGCCAAAATGCCATTCCCTGGAGTTGAAGCCCACGAGACTTCCTGAGAAATCGTTGCAGGGAATGGTTCGCAGCCTCACGCAGCAGCAGAAGGATGAGGTGAAGGAGCATGACGGATGCCAGAAGGACAGGGTTCAGAGCTTGCAGGCTTAGGCTCCGGTTGGGATTTCAAGAGCCCTTCGGTTTCTCTACCTGTGACCTTCAGCGTGGGTCCTGACAAACATCCTGGTTACCTCATCCTCGGAGTCGAGCTTCGGGTGCTGGTCTCTTTCTCAATGCCGAAACCTTACTCTCCAAGCCCAGGTCCGGTGCAGCTTCCTCTGACTCTTTGGGCCCAATAATACCCTAGCCTCCAATGTAGGCCGCCGGATCTAACCCAGAAACCCTTCCACCCTGAGGCTCTAAACTTTAAACCCTCAAGCCCCGTGGCAGAAGCCAGACGAGAGACCGACCTTTCTGCAAGGGTGAGTCAGCTCGCCTAGCTTCGCGTAGGCGTCAAAAGACTCAGCGCCCTCACACTCGACCCGCAAGCCCCAGAACACAGAAGAAGCCTAAAGCCGCGAATCGAAAACCCTAAACCTTACCCCCTTTAAGCCCCTGAGCCAAGAAACTAAGCCAAAGCAGGACTTTTCAGACAACAAGGCTTCCACTGACGAGAAGACAGAGCTGAAGGGATCCACGAAAGGAAAGATCAGTGCCTTGGTAGCTGTATAAGTTCTGTCAGAGACTATAAGGGCTACCTAGGGGTTCAGAGGGTTTAGGGCTTGTATATGGGTCCTAGAAGTCCTAAAAGAGGAAAACCTGTTAACCCCCTATGAACCCACAAACCGTTATAAGCCCCGAAGATACGATAGAACTCGCATGAGAGATGTGATTACTTAATTAGCATCTACACCCAAATCTTCGCAACGCACAAGAACTCCAAGGTCAGCTGCAGTCCGACATCACAACCACAGAGGAAGCAATCACCAAGCTCAAGGAGGACTCCTGTTTTGGCGACAGCAGCATCGAAAATCCCCAAAACTGTGGGCACCCTTTTAGGCTACCTGAGGAACCGCGTAGCTACGAACACTACGAAAAACCTAGCAGCACAAAAGTGCTGGTGGTTCATGGTTTTTCTAAATCCCTAAGCCCCTAAAGTCCCTAAAGCCCAAACCCTACATTCAAAGCCGAAAGCCGAAACCCTAAAATAATTCTCGACTCACCGGTTTGCTTTCCACACCTGACTAGCACGGAAAGCAGATCCTCTTCAGGATCTTCCTGATGGATTAAGTGCTGATTTTCTCATGCGGTAGAACCGCGGGTGTGTTAGACAGCTGCGGTTTTTATTTTGTGCCTGAGGCGCGTATCTATCATGTGCCCAATATAACTGAGGTGTCGATTTTCGCAAGGGGAGTCTGGGACTTGCTCAAACTATGGCAACCTTGTAACCCTCACGACTCTATGTACAAGGTTTAGGCTTGGGGCTTCACACGTTGATATCTGGCCGTGTGGCGGCGGGCCTGTGTGTTTAGGGCCTACAGGAAAAATGCTGTTCACTACATGACCTCTTGCGTGTGGCTGTGGAAATGGAGGGGTTCGTGCTGCAGGAAATCCAGGGACTCAAACTTAGGGCACTCATGTTAGCATGCTTTCCCCAAGTGATCCGCGACGTCCGCTTTTGAGGCACCAGACCCAGCTGTAGATGTTTTCAATGCGGCGCACGTTGTAGAAAGAGGCAAGCAAGCTGTAAACAGCAGGGTTTGGGGCATGTTTGTGCAAAATATTGGCATTAACACTTGTGACCCCAAACCCCCGGCACCCCTCCTGCGGATAGGACAAATGTGGGCTTGGGGCCTACATGTTTTAAGGAGTTCGGGTTGAGCACTGTGGACTGCACGCTCGAATTCAGCACCAGGACTCTGAGGAGATGGCAAAGCAGTTGCAGGTGGATGGCTTTCTCCTGCATTGTTCGTCGTTGTTCGCATTGCAGAGCTCTGTTGGCGGAGTTGCCTTCCGTTCTTTCGTGGGATCCGCCCTAAATCCTACACCCTGAACCTTGAAACCGGTTTCGATGGATTGGAATGCGAGTTTCGGATAGCAGCATGGGCGTATGCAACCGAGGCTGCATCACCTCGATGTAAGGGTCATTTTTGTTCAACCAGGTACGACGGGTAATCCGTACTGGGTAAGGGCATCTTCTAATGCCCCCATCTTCCGTTCGCTGACACGGCATGCAGAAGTTGTCGATGTTTGCAACCGCCCGAACGCAAGCACACCGAGCAGCGATCGCCCAAAGCATTTGGATTCCGGCACACATCGAAGTCCTCCCCAAAGACCCCGGAAAAGGCGCCATACAGATCGTAGAGTATGCCTGGGATAACAGGCTGCCAAAGAGAATCGTGAGAAAGAGATGGGCCTGGTTCCGAGACAACCGCTCTTCCGTGGTTGCGGATTCCGAGTCGAGTTTAAGCTCTGCAAACTGATCCCTACCTGATATCGGGCACTCTGGGATTCTGCTGGAAGCAGCAGGAAGTTGCTGTTGCAGCTTCGGAATATTGAAAACGAGGAACCTTGATCTTGCCGACGGGACTTCCCTCCCTAAAAGCAGCCTAACCCCTAGAAACCCTGAATACATCCTAGTTTCAAGAAGCTTGCAACTGGGTCCAAACGGGTCAGAGGAGGAAGAGGAGTCGCAAGTCCGACGCTGTGTAAGACATACCTTTCCGTTGTTTCGCGGGTGTGAGGCTTGGGGTTTGAGGGTGGCCCAGCTAGGATTCAAATGGGGAGTATAATATATGTATATATGTATATATACATATATACATATTTATTTATTTATATGAGGGCTAGCGGCCTTGGAGCTTCGGCTGACATGTCTGCCGAGTAGCCGCTGAGTGGCAGGATGCCAAACCTGGCTTCTTGCTGAATAATTGGCTGGATGCAACATAAACTCGGATCCATTGTGAGTCGCCTGCGATGGCGGAACCTTTCAGTCGCATCGGTGTCGTCAAACATCTGTCGACCCCCATCTAGATCCAACTTAGGCCATCCTGAAACTCTGATACGATGCAGTCGACTGGATTTTCCTAGCAAGGCGGGGGGCAAAAGATCCTTCATGTGGGTGTCCGAAATGCCGAGGCGAGTTTGCAGACACCGTGGCCGAGCAGCAGCACACGCAGAAGCTGCTGGGCGAGGCAACCGTGCGGAGAAAACGACGATAGATGTGCAGATGCATGTTCTATGTTGCACAAATGATTTATATAGGGGCGGCTCTGGGTTGACCATCGTAATGAACTCCATCACAACAACAGACCATGGACAGCCACTCTCATCTGTCTCCACAAAAGCCTTCTTGGAGCAGGCTTGCGTCACTGGCTTAGTAGTAGGCTTTAAACAGAGATCCACCTGAACTGTGACGAAGAATTGAAAGCGATCTTCTTTAAGCTCATCTTCCGTCAACATTCGGGCTGCCGCATCGCAGATGTTTTGCAGGCGTGTGGATATGCAGGCATGCCTGCACTTACGTGTACATACATTTACATACATGGTCACGTACTTACCGATACTAATATGCTTGCATACCTGCTTGCATGCATACATAACACCACACATACGCAGAGCCACAAAATCATGTACATGTTGTTGTTTATGTCTTGTGTGTTGTCTATGGGTTTTGGACGGAGGGGCGACAATGGCTTGAATCCTGAGTGAAGGAGAATCTATGTGTATTGAAATATGTAGATACAGAGAGAGCGAGAGAGAGAGAGAGAGATACAGACATACATGGGCATGCAGACATAGCTATGCCGTTACTACGCCTGGCACCTGGAGGCATCAATGCAGAGCTGCACGGACAGCCACAATGCCTGTCAGCCCTGTCTGTTGCCATCATCAACTCCGAGAGCCTCTAAGCCTTTGGCAAATCCCGTACCTGTAGCCGAAAAGACCTACCTTTTTAGGGTTCCTTCTCATGGCTTCTATGTCTATAGATAGATAGATAGATAGATAGAGAGAGAGAGAGAGATAGATAGAGAGATAGTTCCTGATAAAGGTAGGTCTTTTTGGGCCACAGGTAAAAAATGGGCATGCATTGGACTCCTTGGACCCAGGGAGAATGGGCCGCCCTGGATCGTCCTTTACAGCAGTTGGCTAGTGGGTTTCAGCCCAGACATTTGAAGTCCTTTAGAAGCCCTCAACCCTTTCATGTACACCCAGCAACAAACTTAATCTAGGGTCCTCGGTACTTACCTGTATTCTTTTGGGGGCTCTTTATTTTTAATCTTACTATGAAGGCCCCCAAAACCCTATTCTAATTGTTAAGGTGTCTATATTATCTCCCAGATCTGAAAGCCCTAAAGGCCAAATTCATGTCCGGCCCGCATCAAAATTAATCAAAGCCCAAACCCCAAGTGGCCGAACCTTCTCTCAGCCAGGCTCTTGAGGCTTTACAAGCCTTCTACGCAAAGCCCGCTCTGGTTCAGGCAAGTGCAGCGACGTTTTCCTTGTTTTCAGAAGGGCAGGAAAAGGGATGGGGGGCGGGGGTTGTTGTTCTTTCAATTTAGACTTGTTTTCAGGAAGCTTTCGGTGGTCTTCAGGGTGCAGGTGTGGGATTTAGGATTGCAGGGCTCGGAACCTTGCAGGGAGCTTGGATTAACCGAACCAAGCACCGACTTGTGAGCGAAGCTTGTACTGGGTGGCTTGTGCTTTGTTGGTGGTGCCAGCTTGGGCTTTGGGGGCGAGTTTGTTGGCAGTACAGTTTCGGTTGGTACTGTGCAAGGTTTCTGTTGTTTTCTGCAGCTGCACCGTGTTGTTATCACAGTTCCGAATACTGCTTCTGCCTATAGTTGTAGTGTGAGGCTACAGTTGTTGATTCTCTGATTTCCACGGCTACCATGCTAACTCCCTGCTTGCTACTATGGTGTGTGGTGGTGCTGTGTGTGTGGGGGGGGGTGCATATGTCCGTCTCAACCTCGATAATACGGGCACTCTATCGAGTATGGGTTACTACCGTTGCAAGTACTTTTGCTGCCAGGATTGCTGGCAGCTTTGTGTTGATGATGCTGCAGTTCTGTCTAGTGATTAGTGTGGTCAGTATACACTTTCACAGTTGTGCACTTACTGTTGCCTAGTGCGATTCTGCTCGCCATCTTCTTGCTACATGACTTGGCAGGGGCTCTTGAGCTCCCCAAGATGGACACATTTGGGGGTTTCCGGTAACAGGGGACCCTATATAGTACCCTAAATAGTAGGATCCTTATTACAAGGACCCCAAAATAAGGTACCCTCATTTTCGGAAACTCCCAGTTGGTTTTGGGTTGCGGCATTCTCCGAAGACAATCTGGCTGTTTGGCATTGCTGACCTCGGTCTGACGGGCGTGATGTACACTTTGGGTTTCCATCTTTGGCCTGACATGGGCCGGGTGGGTAGGGCAGGGCCGGCTGATGGTTAGAGGTTCGGGGCTCCGCCCACCCAGAACAACGAATCGGATTTGCAGGGAACAGGCTGTAATCACAATCGTGGTGACAGAAGGCTGGGAAAGGGGTGGAACTCTTCAAAAAAAACGGATATATACCCATCTCCACCGACTAGAACGAAATGTTTGCAGGTTCTATATGTGGACCAGAGCTTGCAAGTTTGAACGAGCCCAGCTTTTGGGGTGGATGTCTGAATGTGCTCTGTGCAGGTGCGACGGCACGAGGCGGATCCCAAGCCAGAGGACTTCAAGGAGTACAAAAACAACGGTGGGGGTGAGAAGGCACGCAGGAAGTCGGGTTGAGCCGGGTTGAGCGTTTGGTGCTGATCAGCTCTGGTTCTAAAAGAGTTTAGGGATTGGGGAGGGTTGATGCTAGCATCCTCGACAATCACCAAAGCTTTTTCGGGAAAACGGTTGCGAATGCCAGAGGCTTCGAAGGTGGGATGAGCGCAGTATAGTGGTCTGAGTCATCATCAATAACGCTATTAGAAAACAGTCCCATTCGTCCCTGTACAAATGTTGTGTTACGTCACATTCCAATACCGCTTTAAGCCTTGTCCGAAATAGTGAGATTTCGCTAGTGGCCCCTAGTATATGGGGGGTGACCCCGAGAACAGAGTCCGTATGTAAGTGATCCTCATCTTACCCAGCTGCTGTGGGTGTTGAAGATGTGTAAGATACCATCCCCTAAAGGATCTGGGCTTAGGGTTTTATGCTTTAGTTAGTAGTGTTTGCACAACCTTGAACCCTCAACCCTAAGGCGCTCCTTTAAATCAAAAGGCCCAAGAAGAGACTCCAGGTGATGGCGCTGATTCGCGAGGTGAGCGACAGCTCTGCCACCCTCGAGAAGGAGGCGAAGCAGGCCGACGAGGACCTGGCAGGGCCCAGGCATTGTTGTCTCAAAAGGGTTCGGGTATGGTTCAAAAACAGGCTCTATTGCTTTATGGGCTTCGGCCTCATTTAATGTGTCGATGTCCAGGGCTCGGGGTTTTAAGGTTCAGGGTTTAGCGGTTTGGGGCTTACAGTGGAGAGGTTTCGAGGTTCAGGGGCTGAGGGGTTAAGATTTATGTGCGTAAGGCTTCAGCGTTTGAATTGGTGTTCCATACGATTCGGATTTAACCGTTCATGTCATTACTTGGACGGTTTAGAGCCACATTGCGTGGCTGAAAGACTTCAGGTGAGAAGTTGTACTGAGCTATTCAATATCGAAATACATCTTCACCTCTGATAATACGACGATTCTCTTCTTCATTTCATCATCTTGGTATCTATTTATCCTATGCGGAGCCGGGTTCTTCGGCCACTAGGCTTCGCAGGAACACTGGAAGTGGTTTAACATTGTGCGGCTTGGGTAGTAGACTGTTGACCCGGACTGTGCAACAGCCCCCCTTCTTGATGGCCTTGCACGAAGATGGAATATTCTGAAGTAAGTGTAAAGGGCTACGCAGGGCCTCACTGAAAAGGAGCACGACTCATAGTGCTTCGAAGGCCGCTGACAGTTTCGAAGAGCCTTAAGACGAAGAGGAGCCTTCGTCTGTTATCCCTCGGCTCGGTTTGGGGTGTAGACTTTTGGGGGGACTCTGCTATTCTACACTATATCATACTATACTATACTATACCATACTACGACACTATACTTAAATCAGGAAGCATGAGGCGGGTACCAGTGTATAAAGGTGCCGCCCGCAGGATTCCCGTCTTGCCTTCGAGAAGCTGTCGGATGAGACCAAGGCCGAGATGCGCAGCGCGACAGAGGCCGGACAACCAAACGATTTTTTGGGGCGTTTTCCAGCTTGTTTTTCTGGGCCGGGGCTTGGGAGGTGTGTTGCAAGAGTACCACATCTTGCCTTAAATCTATTCTTCAGGTGCAGGTGAGATCCGAATGGCTGCCATCGACCTTTGCCGAAACCGCGCAAGAAGCTTTAAAGAAACGCACGAACCCCGTGCGAGTTCGCATCCCGATGTAGTCCGAAACTCCCGACGCATTGTTTGGGGTGGAGAGTAAGCACGACTTAGTCGTGTACGCCTAGCCCAAATGCAACCGAAAAGATGCAAAATTCCTTCCCTCTGAAGCTCTTATCAAGAAACCCGCTCGACTGAAAGAACCATTTGTTTGAGCACGGTTTAGGGTTTACAGTTTGAGGATATGTGATGCTATACTATACTATACCATACCATGCTATAACCATATTTTTTCCATTAGGAGCCACGTTGTGGGTACTGTTACATACAGGGGACTGGTTGAAGTCTTTGGCCGCGGCTGAGGAGACAAACAACAAGGCCATTCACAAGGCTGACTTGGAAGCTGACTTGCCCCTTGTCTCATGTAGTGGCTGGGTAGGCTTCATCTTGACTGATGGGAGCTTCCGAAAACGTAGGCGTGGGATCTAGGGCTTTTTTTGAGCCCGAGGTGATCAGAGGTGCCAAACTCAATGCTCAAGGCTGCGACAATTCAGTCGGGATTCTTTAACCTGCCTTGGGTGCACAGAGCCCCTATTTTAGGGTGGTTTCGTTTCTCGTTTCATCGGCTGGTCCACTTTATCTTCGCTCAAAGCCACCCACGGTTCTTTCCGCAAAGACTCTCCGGCTCGGCTCTGGGCTTCGGGGTATACATCTTACAGCCATCTATACCCTAAGCCCTAAACCCTAAACCCCTGGCAACTCAGTTTACCGAACGTAAAGGACTGCTTCAAGCTGGGAAATGGTGCGGTCCTACTTCGCCAAAGCCCGTCCTCAATCTTGTGGAGGGTCTCTCCGGTCTGGGAGGTTGTTAACGATTCATGTAGAATCGTTAAACCCTAAGGGTTTAGGGTTTAGGGCTTTGGATTTAGGGTTTAGGGTTTACCCTAAAGCCCTAAAGCTCTAAACCCCGACTTTGTGCACCTATGGATCCTCGCCTGGCTTGTCCGAGTTGTGAGAGTGTAAAGCTCTAAACCCACCCTTGAACCCGAAACAAGCCGACACCCAGGGCGGAGGCCAAGCAGACGCTTCGTTTGACCAAGGCCTGTGGGGCCTAGGCGGCGTAGGGCCCATTTTTCGGGCTTTAGGGTGTAATATAGGGGCC